CACTACCGTGTGATGTATATTCCCGATTACTAATATATTTGGAAGCAAATCAACAAATGCAATTCAGCTGCAGATAGACAATGTTAACATCAGCAATAAAACTGATGGAAAGTTCCTTGGCCTACACTTAGACAAGAGACTCAACTTCAGCACCCACATACAACACATAACTAAGAAAGTCTCAAAAACAGTTGGTATACTTTCTAAAATCAGATATGTTCCAAACTCTGCTCTTCTCTTACTATACTTTGCGCTAATCTATCCCTATCTTACATATGGTATCTGTACATGGGGATCAACCACTGTAAACTACCTCAAGCCCATCATCACCCAGCAAAAATTTGCTATAAGAACAATAACAAATTCTGCTTTCAGACAACACTCAGTCCCCCCCCCCCTTTCCTCCATGTTTTAATCCCTAAACATGCTAAACATAAACTCACTCCATACATTCTCTTGTGCCATCAACATTTACAAAACCCTGTTCTGAAACTCTTCCTAGACACATGCAATTGAACCCATAATCACCACACCAGAAATATATACCTCTTTGATATCCCCAGAGTCAAACTTAATCTTTGTAAACACTCAATGCAAATAAAGGAACCTAGTCTATGGAACTCACTTCGTACCGAATTGAAAAGCTGTCCAACTTTTGCCCTATTCAAAAATAAAACCAAAACATACCTAATTCATCTTCATAGTTTCCTACCTAGTGTTTTAAACTCGCTCTGTATCTAGTGTTACCCAGTCCCCCAATATATGTGGCTTAGCCATACAAATTTACCATTGTAATCATTGGTATCACCTTATATCATGGTTGCAACATTGAATGCATTTTTACTGAATCATACCTTGAAATATTCCTCAAATTATGCTACAGTGTACCTGCTGATAACCCTCAAATCTTACTTTAATGTACCTACTAATTTGTTGTCAAATTTTCTTACAATAAACCTGTAAATTTTTTATGTAAATTTTGCTAGAAATTACCTGCTTAAAATTATCTGTTAGATTAAGGACCTGCCTGAAACGCTATGCGTGCTAGTGGCTTTACAAGAAGGTAAAAAATCTACGCTATGTACTCTCATAAACCCAATTTACTTTCTTGTATAAATACAAAAATAAATACATATATATTTCCTCACTAATGTGCTCATCTCATATATAGCCCAGATATAACAAACCCACCAAACACATGTAACATTTATTTAATTTTAACCCTTTGATTGCTTGTGCTTCTCTTTCGCAGTACTTCCTGTGGAATTTGGACCTTGCTTCCTTGATGGACTATGCTTCCTTTGAGCTAGGGTCGGCATCACCTTTTTAGGTGATGCCGAAACCTCTTTATGAGGTTTCAGACTCATCCTGGCTTCCTGACAACCCTCATGTTTTCCTTGGGGGCTTGACAGGGGTTCTCTCACGCCCGCACGTTTGAATGGCATGAAGTTGTAACACCACCCATTTGTAACAATGCCAATTTGTAACACCACTATAATGGATACTAAACTAATAATGTAAACACTGAGTAACACTTCCCCATCGGTTGCACTTGGTAACACTGTTATGAGCTGACATAGGATGGTTACACCGGAACTAAAAAGTACACTGCCAACAAGGAAATGTTAACACAGGATTAAATACACTGCCACCATCTGCCTTTGACCATTGAGACTATGTCAAGCAACGAGGCAAGAAACATTGCTTGACTTGGAGAGTACGTTCTATTACTGTCATTAATTATGAAAACGGTTGTCAGCCACTATATCCAAAAAGGCTAAGAGGATTCAACAATTGACACAGACGGGAAATTTAACATGAGTTTATTGAGACCAAAATTATGTCAATCACCACTTATAAATCCTACTCTAACACTGGCAAAAAGTTAAGAAATTTGGACATGGAACAAAACCTCAGAGATCACACACGTTACCTTAAGACCTCTGTCTCTCCCTGGCTGAGATGTTCTTCACAGCCCTCTCTGGACCCCGGTGTCCGGCACTCTGTCCTTACTAAGTCCCTACAGGACCTCTATATACAACCCCCACAGGGGGGAGGGGGGAGATCTGCTGTTGCTACCTACACCAAGAATGTAAGAGATCGGCCACACGTGTACAAACACTCAAGAAATATTTCAATAAGCTTGTTTGACATTCACCATACACTCTTCAAGAGAGGAGTTATTAATTACGTGTGTGACTGACCTCTGACCTGGCCAAAAGGGGGAGATCCATGGATGTTTACACAGAAGAATCTGGAGTCTAATTCCCTTGCATGAAATATTACATACTTGAAACTATGCTGACTAAGACTAACCCAGGAATTTTTAATCAATATACAAGATAAACCGGAGGTCATCTGGGCTGACCTCTTGGAGAAGGCTTCCCTGGGTGTGAACTCTAAGGAGGGGGGGGAGGTCCTGGGTGTTACAGCTTCCCTACTCAAGGATTGCTTGTTTGCTCCTGCTCTCGCCAAGGATGTGGGGAAGTGGCAGTTTCATATTCAGCTACCTGTGCTGTTTGCTGCCCTTATTACGGAAGATTACAGGGTGCGTATGCACCTGACGATGCATGGTTAGGTATTTTTTTGGCCCCTTTTGGAGCTTTTTTCTGATCACCTCCATGAGGACACGGATGCACTTGGCTTGATTCAGGGTGCGGAGACTTTGCAGTGGCAGCATTTTACTCGCCTCGCCTCGTGTGTTGGCAGGCCATCCTTGCATGTTCTTTAGAGTCGGCTTTGTCCTTAGCCCTTTTGTCTGCCTCCCCTTTTTTGCCTCTTCTCTTTCCTTAGGACATTGTACATTTCCTTTTGAAGGAATCTACTTCCTGCTGTCTCTTTTCCCAACTTTTGCCTTAGAGGTTCTGTTCCTCATGCTTGGAGGCAGTCTGGTTGGGTTGGGGCCACACCTGCAATTGGTCAGGGTAGGTCCTCGTGGGTGCCAGATTCCTGGCTGTTGTTCTTTGGTAACTATTATTCTATCATCTATATATGATATATCATCTATGATATATATGGATATATCACCTATCATCTATGATATATATGGATATATCACCTAAGGTATCTGTTATATGGAAGGGGTATTTTCTTAGAAGAATGTGTTAGTGTTGATAATTTGAAGTGAACACTTCAAACTGTGGCTAGTCATAAGGAAAATACATTTGAAATTCCCACCAGTATAGTGGCTAGATCTGCACATGTCCAGTGCATTGTCACAGTGAGAGAATGTTTCATCTAAAATAATGTAAACATCAAAGCATGGAAAAATAAATCATCTCAAGTACATTTAATGTCTGTAAAAGATGTAAAACAACCAGCGTTGAATGTAATGAAACTCCTTTTTTTTTGTGAGACCCAGAGGCTCCTCGGAGCTATACAGGGCTGATATGTATATATTAGACCATGGCAACTGTCAATTGATGGAGTTCTAAGCCTACTGGGGACCAGTGCCAGAATCTGACCTCCTCAAGAGAGGCACGGGGAGCAATGGCCTATAGACACCCCTATGTAATTGGAAGCAGTCAGTGTCTGCCATCTACCAGGTCAGGCACCCAAAAATTAGGTAGGAATTTCAAAACAAACTACAGCTAGTTAAAAATTGAAAACCGAATGCCGAACTAGCAAGCAGAACTCCCCAGTCGAAAACAAGTAAACAAGCATGACGTCACCACAGCCGAACAACTACCTGTGCGGTTCAGACAATGAACCATAGGAGAGCAGTCCGAATGGAGCCGGATCGTCGATCCACGAGCGACTCGAACCCTCTGAAGCGAATGCCAAACCGCCGCAAACTCCCTTGCCCTGCTGTGAGCCCGACGGAAGGACGGACTCCCCACCGACCCTGACCAGCCTGGTGAGCACTGGTCACAAAGCTCCAGCCAAGAGACAAGACATCGTGAACACATCGAGCGAGGGCTCGGGTAGGCGCTACAGCAGAGAACCCCGAAAAATCTAAAAAGGAAGTCGGCGATGCAGCAGCCCACACAAGGCCCCTCAGGATCCGAACCCAGCGATCACGAGAGCGGAGGAAGGGATGTCCCCGAAGGAACCAGAATAGCTGCCGAAGCCAGATCCAACCCGATGGGTAGACTAGCATGGCGAAGTTCAGGCTCCCGCACAGCTGCTTGAACAATCTCGAACAATCGACGCATGACCTGGGTGCCCTCCAAAAACAACCGAAGACGGGACCGCAGCCACAACAACGGCGCGAGAGGAAGAAACAAGGAAGCAGTCCGAGAGTTCCACACAAGACCCAGCCAAGTCTGAACCTGAGAGGGAACCAAATGGGACTTCCTCCTGTTCATCAAGAACCCGAACCCGGCTAGCTTGGAAGTTAGTTTAGTTCATTTATTATGCACCCCATATCCTTCTTGTAGGCGGTAGGGGAAAGGGTTACAGAGGCACATAATGGGCTCAGGGACTGAACCCCACAATTCATTTAGCTAAGCAAGTTACAATCTTGATGAGCTAGTTGCAAAATTCAGTATAAGTCGTCACATCATAAATGGGTTCGAGATCAACCACAAATACAGTTTCTAAGTTAAGCAACTGACATATGTGGAGAGCTAGTGTCACAATTGATATGTATGTCCTGCACACCGCCCCCCCATCCAGTGGGCAGCGGTGGATAGGGTACAGTCACTTAGTTACTACTTACAGTTAGCAAACTAGGGGATATTTGGCTAAAATTTCTGGTAGCAGATCATTTTGAATGAAACATTTACACATTGCTGGAACATTCGTTATAGAATTGTCTCTGATATCAAGCTGGGAAAGAACCAAATCCGTGGCGAGCAGACTCACAAACTGGTTGGGAGCCCAGACCAGACAAATCCTGAACCCCAAACAGACCATGACCAACTGCAGTCAGCCTTACCCGGGTCACCATGACCTGGGTAAGGTGTGTGAACATGCGAGGTGCCATATTTAATCCAAAAGAAAGGCAACGAAAACGGTAAGTCTGTCGCCTCACAACAAAACCGAGTCAGTCCCTGAACCCCGGATGAATTGGGATGAGCCAATACGTGTCCCAGAGGTCCAAGGACCCAAGGACACCATCCAAGTGCCCGGCTCCAAAAGCAGCCAGACCTGGGACAGAGTAGTCATCAGAAAGGAGGGGCAAAAAACTCAAGGGTTCAGATGAGACAAGTCCAGAATGAACCACTGATCCGCACAGTTTCGTTTCGGAATTGGAAACAGATGGGGAAACCCACCTGAGGGATGCCGTCGTTTCGAACACGCCCAAGCAAACCCTCTCCAGTATGACCCAACAGAGTGCAGGGAAAGAGGCCTGCCCCACCAGCCCCGATGGAGGAGCCACCCAATGCCACCGCAGGCCAGAGGAAATGACCCAAATGCAAATGCTCCTGGCAGTATGGGTTCGAGTCACTTCTGGGGTGTGAGTTTTCAATTGCATATATGCCTGGGGACCATTCAGGCTTTTTCACATTTGTGTTCCTCATGTGTGCAGCAAAGAATGAGGTGATTTGATAAAATACCATGCCCAAGATTACCATCAGAGTGCCGGCGGGATGATGGGGAATTAGCCTCGGCTACTATCATCTTTTGTCTGGTCGTGATGGTCGAGTGGTCAAGGGGTCCTGTACACCAGTTGCAAATGCTCCTGGCAGTATGGGTTCGAATCCCTTCTGGGGTGTGAGTTTTCCGTTGCATATATGCCTGGGGACCATTCAGGCTTTTTCGCATTTGTGTTCCTCACTTGTGCCCCAATGAATGAGGTGACCCAACCCTGTGGCTCTCAATCATTCCTGGTATGGGAGCTGGCTTAGTTCATGAATGATCTGTAACAAGCTCCTGAAATTCTAATGTATAGTTAAACCTGAAATCAACTATTTTTTTAATAGAAAATTATTATTGCTCCATCGAGTTTAATTTTTACTATGTTAACTATACGTGTTTTGAATATAAGACACTATCAATCAATATGCATGTGGGGTCATCAGACATCAACTGGGAACACTTCTATGGAAGAAATGAAATGTATGCTCGTGATGGGGTGCATCTATCGAGAGCTGGGGTTGTTGCTGTTGCGAACTCGTTGGAAGAAGTGGTTAGAGGTGTTTGTTTGGGTTTAAACTGTTAGTAGATAGAGGTATGGGAATTGATTTGGAGGAAGGAGGTAATAAAAGTATGTGTTTGTGGGAGAAAGGAATTGGCAAAATGATCAGGGAAAGAGAAGGGCCTCAAAATAACAATTCACTTAGGGTATATTACACTAACAGTAGAAGTCTAAGAAATAAAATTAACGAATTAAATGCTCTTGTCTGCACAGAAAAAATAGATATTATTGCACTTACCGAAACGTGGATGAATGTAGAAAATAGAGAACTATTAGCTGAATATCAAATAAATGGATTTAAACTATTTCACACAGATAGATATATTAGACGAGGAGGTGGAGTAGCCATATATGTTAGGGACAATTTGAAATGTAGTCTCAAAGAGGGAATCAAAACTGAGCCACACACAGAAACTATTTGGATAGAATTAAACGAAAAAGCTAATAATATTATAATAGGAGTTATATATAGGCCACCAAATTTAGACAGAATGGAAGCAAAGCATCTATGGGATGAAATATCTAGAGCATCTAGATCTAACAGTATTTATGTCATGGGTGACTTTAATTTTAGCGGAATAAACTGGTTGAACAAAACAGGGAATAGTGAAGCAGAAGATTTTCTAGAATTAATTGACGATTGCTTTCTTACGCAACACATTAAGGAACCAACACGGGAAAATAATATTTTAGATTTAGTGTTAACTAACAGGGAAACACAAATTAATGACATCGAAATAGGGAGTGAGCTAGGGAACAGTGATCACAAAGAAATCAGATTTAGCATAGAATGGAATAGACCAGTAGGAGAAAATTCTGTTAAAGTGCCAGATTTTCGAAAAGCTGATTTTAATAGCCTAAGAAATTTTTTGGGTCAAATTGATTGGAAAGTCTTGGGTATGGGGTGTGGGCCGGTCTTGGAGCGAGACATGAACCCAGCGATAGGTGACTTAAATGGGGATTTCGATGTGGATTCAATATATAACTTATTTAAGAATATTCTAAACAAAGCACAGGAACGTAGTATACCATACAAATTGAATAGATCGAATACTAATGACCCAAAGTGGATAACAAAGAATTTGAAGAACCTTATAGGTAAAAAGAGAGCTTGGTACAAAAGGATTAAAAATGGGGAGGTCACTTTAGAACAGGAATTCGTACAACTGGTTAGAAATGTTAAAAAAGAGATAAGGAAAGCAAAAAGAAACTATGAAGTTCGCATAGCAGGGCAAGCAAAGACAAATCCTAAAGGGTTTTTTCAGTTATATCGTACTAAGACTAGGGAAAGGATAGGTCCATTAAAAACTGAGACAGGTCAAATAACAGATAGTGATGAAGAGATGAGTAGTATTTTTAATAAATATTTTGTATCTGTATTTACTAAAGAGGAACTTAACAATATGCCTTCAGCCGAACAAGTCTATGTGGGTGGGGACGAGGACAGGTTGACGAGTTTAGCAGTTACCAGGGAGGATGTTCTTAAACAAATAGTAAAACTCAAACCAAACAAATCCCCAGGGCCGGATGAAGTGTTTGCCAGGGTGCTTAAAGAATGCAAAGAGGAGCTTTGTGACCCACTGTCAACCATATTTAATAAATCAATAGAGTCAGGCAGAGTGCCAGAGTTTTGGAAAGTTGCTAATGTGATACCAGTTTTTAAGAAAGGAGATAGATCACTTGCGTCTAACTATCGACCAATTAGCCTAACGTCTATTGTGGGAAAGTTACTCGAATCTATAATAGCAAATAAAATTCGTCTTCATCTTGAAAAACATAAATTAATAATTGAGTCGCAACATGGTTTTATAAATGGCCGTTCATGTTTAACAAATTTGTTATCTTTTTATTCTAGCATAGTTGAGGCAGTTGATAGTGGTAAGGATTGTGATGTTGTGTACCTTGACTTTAGCAAAGCTTTTGATACAGTGCCACATGAAAGACTGATTAAAAAGATAGAGTCTCATGGTATTGGGGGTGCTATATTAAGCTGGATTAGGGCATGGCTATACCAAAGGAAACAGAGAGTTAGTATAAATGGAATCAAGTCAGAGTGGGAAAATGTTGTAAGTGGAGTGCCTCAAGGCTCTGTCCTGGGACCTCTGTTGTTTATAATATATATAAATGATTTAGATTCAGGTTTGAGTAGCAACATTTGCAAATTTGCCGATGATACGAAAATCGGTAGGGAAATTAATTCGGAGGAGGACTCACTATCACTTCAAGTTGATCTAGATAGGGTTTTGAAATGGTCAAAGGATTGGCAGATGCAGTTTAATGCTGATAAATGTAAAGTTCTGAGGTTAGGTAATGATGATAGAGTTACAAGATACGAGCTAGATGGTGTTGAGATTGCGAAGTCGGATTGCGAAAGGGATCTGGGAGTTATGATTAGTAAGAATTTAAAACAAAAGGATCAATGCATAAATGTTCGTAATAAGGCAAATCGGACACTTGGATTTATTAATCGCAGCGTTAGTAACAAGACACCTGGTGTGGTTCTCAAGCTATATCTTGCTCTAGTTAGGCCCCATTTAGATTATGCAGTTCAGTTTTGGTCGCCATATTATAGAATGGATATAAATTCACTTGAACGTGTCCAGCGTAGGATGACTAAGTTAATTCCCCAAATTAGAAATCTTTCATATGAAGAAAGATTAACAAAGCTTAAGTTGCATTCACTGGAAAGGCGAAGAGTTAGGGGTGACATGATAGAGGTTTACAAGTGGGTGAATGGACATAACAAAGGGGATATTAATAGGGTATTAAAAGTATCAACACAAGACAGAACACGAAACAATGGGTATAAATTGGATAAGTTTAGATTTAGGAAAGACTTGGGTAAATACTGGTTCAGTAACAGGGTTGTTGATTTGTGGAACCAATTGCCGCGTAACATTGTGGAGGTGGGGTCCCTCGATTGTTTCAAGCATGGGTCATAAGAACATAAGAACAAAGGTAACTGCAGAAGGCCTATTGGCCCATACGAGGCAGCTCCTATTCTATAACCACCCAATCCCACTCATATACTTGTCCAACCCGCGCTTGAAACAATCGAGGGACCCCACCTCCACCACGTTACGCGGCAATTGGTTCCACAAATCAACAACCCTGTTACTGAACCAGTATTTACCCAAGTCTTTCCTAAATCTAAACTTATCCAATTTATACCCATTGTTTCGTGTTCTGTCTTGTGTTGATATTTTTAATACCCTATTAATATCCCCCCTGTTATGTCCATTCATCCACTTGTAAACCTCTATCATGTCACCCCTAACTCTTCGCCTTTCCAGTGAATGCAACTTAAGCTTTGTTAATCTTTCTTCATATGAAAGATTTCTAATTTGGGGAATTAACTTAGTCATCCTACGTTGGACACGTTCAAGTGAATTTATATCCATTCTATAATACGGCGACCAAAACTGAACTGCATAATCTAAATGGGGCCTAACCAGAGCAAGATATAGCTTAAGAACCACACCAGGTGTCTTGTTACTAACGCTTCGATTAATAAATCCCAGTGTCCTATTCGCCTTATTACGAACATTCATGCATTGATCCTTTTGTTTTAAATTCTTACTAATCATAACTCCCAGATCCCTTTCGCAATCCGACTTCGCAATCTCAACACCATCTAGCTCGTATCTTGTAACTCTATCATCATTACCTAGCCTCAGAACTTTACATTTATCAGCATTAAACTGCATTTGCCAATCCTTTGACCATTTCAAAACCCTATCTAGATCAACTTGAAGTGATAGTGAGTCCTCCTCCGAATTAATTTCCCTACCGATTTTCGTATCATCGGCAAATTTGCAAATGTTGCTACTCAAACCTGAATCTAAATCATTTATATATATTATAAACAACAGAGGTCCCAGGACAGAGCCCTGAGGTACTCCACTAACAACATTATCCCACTCTGACTTAACCCCATTTATACTAACTCTCTGTTTCCTTTGGAATAGCCATGCCCTAATCCAAGTTAATATAGCACCCCCAATACCATGAGCTTCTATTTTTTTAATTAGTCTTTCATGTGGCACTGTATCAAAAGCTTTGCTAAAGTCAAGGTACACAACATCACAATCCTTACCACTATCAACTGCCTCAACTATGCTGGAATAAAAAGTTAGCAAATTTGTTAAACATGAACGGCCATTTGTAAAACCATGTTGCGACTCATTTATTAATTTATGTTTTTCAAGATGGAGACGAATTGTATTTGCAATTATTGATTCAAGTAACTTTCCCACAATAGACGTTAGGCTAATTGGCCGATAGTTTGACGCAAGTGATCTATCTCCTTTCTTAAAAATTGGTACCACATTAGCTACCTTCCATGACTCTGGCACTCTGCCTGACTCTATTGATTTATTAAATATGGTAGACAGTGGCTCGGAAAGCTCCTCTTTGCATTCTTTAAGCACCCTGGCAAACACTTCATCCGGCCCTGGGGATTTGTTTGGTTTTAGTTTTTCTAATTGTTTAATTACATCCTCCCTGGTAACTGCTAAACTAGTCAACCTGTCCTCATCCCCACCCACATAGACTTGTTCGGCTGAAGGCATATTGTTAAGTTCTTCTTTAGTAAATACAGATATAAAATATTTGTTAAAAATACTACTCATCTCCTTGTCATTATCCGTTATTTGACCTGTCTCAGATTTTAATGGACCTATCCTTTCCCTAGTCTTAGTTCGATATAACTGAAAAAACCCTTTAGGATTTGACTTTGCTTGCTCTGCTATGCGAACTTCATAGTTTCTTTTTGCTTTCCTAATTTCTTTTTTAACATTTCTAACCAGTTGTATGAATTCCTGTTCTAAACTGACTTCCCCATTCTTTATCCTTTTGTACCAAGCTCTCTTTTTACCTATAAGGTTCTTTAAATTATTTGTTATCCACTTTGGTTCATTAGTATTCGATCTATTCAATATGTATGGTATACTACGTTCCTGTGCTTTGTTTAGAATATTCTTAAATAAGTTATATATTAAATCCACATCAAAATCCCCTTTTACGTCACAGCTGGGTTCATGTCTCGCTCTAAGACCGGCCCACACCCCATACCCAAGACTTTCCAATCTATTTGACCCAAAAAATTTCTTAGGCTATTAAAATCAGCTTTTCGAAATTCTGGCACTTTAACAGAATTTTCTCCTACAGATCTATTCCATTCTATGCTAAATCTGATTACTATGTGATCACTGTTCCCTAGCTCACTCTCTATTTTGATGTCATTAATTTGTGTTTCCCTGTTAGTTAACACTAAATCTAAAATATTGTTTTCCCGCGTTGGTTCCTTAATGTGTTGCGTAAGAAAGCAATCGTCAATTAATTCTAGAAAATCTTCTGCTTCACTATTTCCTGTTTTGTTCACCCAGTTTATTCCACTAAAATAAAAGTCACCCATGACATAAATACTATTAGATCTAGATGCTTTAGATATTTCATCCCATAGATGCTTTGCTTCCATTCTGTCTAAATTTGGTGGCCTATATATAACTCCTATTAAAATATTATTTGCTTTTTCGTTTTATTCTATCCAAATAGTCTCTGTGTGTGGCTCAGTTTTGATTCCCTCTTTGAGATTACATTTCAAATTGTCCCTAACATATATGGCTACTCCCCCTCCTCGTCTAATATATCTATCTGTGTGAAATAGTTTAAATCCATTTATCTGATATTCAGCTAATAGTTCTCTATTTTCTACATTCATCCACGTTTCGGTAAGTGCAATAATATCTATTTTTTCTGTGCAGACAGGAGCATTTAATTCATTAATTTTATTTCTTAGACTTCTACTGTTAGTGTAATATATCCTAAGTGAATTGTTATTTTGAGGCCCTTTTCTTTCCCTGATCATTTTGCCAATTCTTTTCTCCCACGAACACATACTTTTATTACCTCCTTCCTCCAAATCAATTCCCATACCACTATCTACTAACAGTTTAAACCCAAACAAACACCTCTAACCACTGGTTCCAACGAGTTCGCAACAGCAACAACCCCAGCCCTCGATAGATGCACCCCATCACGAGCATACATTTCATTTCTTCCATAGAAGCGTTCCCAGTTGTCTATGAAAGATATTGCATTTGATTTGCAATATCTTTCCAGCCGGCAATTGACACCAAGTGCCCTCGACATCCATTCATTTCCCACTCCCTTTCTTGGAAGAATGCCACATATGATCGGGATTCCTCCCTTGCTCCTAACTAATTCAATGGCTGTCCTAAATCTCTGTATTAGTTCCTCACTCCTAACTCGCCCAACATCATTACCCCCTGCACTAATACAAATAATGGGTTTGTTCCCATTTCCCGTCATAATATCATTCATGTTTTCAACAATATCACCAATTCCAGCTCCCGGATAGCAAACCCTTAATCTGTTCCCCCTATCTCTGGCACAAAACGTTCTGTCTAAATACCTCACCTGGGAATCTCCCACAACCAAAATTCGCTTCTGTACCGCCTTAACTTTCTGAGCAGCCTGAGGGGCCTGCGCTCCGCCGTTCCTCGCTGCAGGCGCACTACAGCACTCGTCCTCCAACACGGCAAATGAATTTGCCGTCCTTAGGGCGTCTGTAGGCGGCCTTGTCAAGGTCTTCTTAAGACCCCTGTCTTTCACTACTCTCCACGATGAGGTCTCGTCAACACTGGTCTCCTCCTTCGTTTCCTCTCGAAGTCTCAGCCGTCGTACCTCCTCCCGCAGGGAATCCATCTCTGCTCTCAGAGCTCCAACCAAACTCACCAAATCATTAACTAATCCTTCCATTATTGCAATAATAATGTTACTCCAGAGCTCCAGCTAACACAACCTCTCACTGAGAGGTGGTGTCCCTCGATTGTTTCAAGTGTGGGTTGGACATGTAAATGAGTGGGATTAGGTGGTTATAAATAGGAGCTGCCTCGTATGGGCCAATAGGGCCTTCTGCAGTTATCTTTGTTCTTATGTTCTTAGTACTGGGACCCTATCTCTGTGACCTAGCCTTAGTCAGCCACCGGTACTCACCCAGAGAGGGGCATTTCATTACTATATGTTTAATTCATTTTATATGTCTGTATTATACTTTAGCATGACCCTGCAAAAAATGTATGATTTCATAATTTTAATAGTATTGACACAAAACTTACGGTTTGACCTCAAAAACTCTTTCTCCAGCATGGAAAAAGAAATGCTGAAGAGAAAATTTTGATTTGGATGATTTCCAGGTACTGCTGCAATGAGGAGATAAATAGGTGAAGCATTCCTTTCTAGCATCTTGACATAATCTTGTAGTTTGGCTGAGAGCTCCTTCAGTGGCCGGAGGTACTCACCCCAAGCTCGAGCTGCAATTTTTGGCATTATAAATTGTTTGTAAATAATATCTAATATCTTAAATCATAAATTGATGTTACTGGCAGTTGCTGTATGAGTAAAAACTAAACCTGAATGTGTCAGAAAGATACTCCAACATTTAAACAAAGTTAATTTTATAATTTTGGGAGGTTCATGTAATCAACTGACAAGATTACTGCGATATTGAAAAAATTCAAATGCATAGATACACATGTCTTGGTATTTTACAGTCTTTAGAATCTGTTCCATTTAGACTTTCTGGTTGGGTTGATATATACCTATTAGTGCCTGAGTAGTGAAAATGATTATAGTGATGTGAAGGGAGAAAGGTGAAGAGGGTGGAAATTGGAAGAGGAGGAGAGGAGAGGACAGGGGTTAGAGAGGGGATCTTGGAGGAGAAAGATGTGGAGATTAGGAGAGAGAGTGGGAGTCGGGAAGTGTGGAGAGACGCCGGTACCCTTTGTAGTGTGTAATTACATGATGGTCCAGACCTTATCAGAGTTGCAGTGTCCAGAAAAAACGGTTTATGCGAATGAATTTTTTACCAGGAACAGACAAATTCTCTTCTTTAAACTGTGTGAAGCCGTAAAAAATTCAAATTGGTCAAACAAACACAAACATTGTTTTGTAAGAGGTGGTAAAATTCTAGCTAAGAAGTCTGACACCGGGAAACCCTATGAAATAACCATTGAGGCACCCCTCAGACCTTCCCTTAGTGCCTGGGATAATGGGTGAATAATCAGATGCCAAGTGAGCCCTATCTCTGGGGTCCCCTTTACCACAGAACCCTCTCAACCCCAGAGTGTAACTTATAGTTTCATCTAAGAACCAAAGTGAACTATAGCTCTGCCTTTTCTTTCAAAAGGTTTTATATTTGACATTTTTGTTTTTGTTTTTTCTCTTGTTTATCCCACCATTTTATATTGTTCATTTCTTCATTTGTCGCTTACTGTATTGTTATTTTGCTATTACTGTCACAGTACAGTGATTTTTATTTTATTTTTACCTGTTTCTATTATATGTATATTTGCATTTTTTAATTTTTTACTATAGTTATTTTATATTTATTTTGTTATTTTATATAGTTATTTTATATTTACAGCAGATTTAGCATTTTACTGTTCTGTAATTGCTTACCTTATTGTATCTTGACTCCAGTGCATCTACATGTAAGCTGATACTGACCCTGAACTAAATATGCTGTCACAAATTTACAATAACTAACAAATTGATCATCACTACTGCAGGTATTACACAGCACACCTTGCAAAAAAACTCCAAAATAACACTTGCCTATCAGTTTTCAACCAAAATGTCAGATCACTTGGAAAACATTTTGATGACATAAATGCATTACTCACAGCACTAGGTACTAAACTATCGTTCATTATTTTAACAGAAACATGATTAAGTAAAGACCATACCCAACTTTACAACTTAGCTGGTTATGAACAAATCCACAAGGGCTGTGACGAGGATTCGAACCTGCGTCCGAGAGCATCCCAGACGCTGCCTTAATCGACTGAGCTACGACATGGTATAAGAATTGCAACCAGAAATTCAACTGAATTTACTTGGATCCTGCAGCCTCTCCGAGACACAAACCAGGATTTTACACAATTCCCCCATTTAGCATTCGAGATAGAATATTTGAAATTAATCTTATGATGGGACTAAAGCTGCTGCGTGATAACAAAAACAACATTGTGTCAGTTGCACTGTTAGAAGACATACGAAATGGAACTAGCGAGTCTAAATGGATTCAAAGAACTGCCACTCATATTAAAATGATGGGACTGCACGATGTATATACAGATGAAAGAGTACAGCACTTCCTTCCACCCTGGCAGATAGTACCTTTTGACATCCTGACCCCTGCATACCCCACCAAGAAACTAATCACAAGCAACCCTCATGCTCAGCTTGCTGCTAAATTAAGCACCATAGAGCACATTCACAATATACAAGCTGAAAACAACATTGCACAGACCATATACACTGACGGATCACTCAATACAGCTACAGGGAGGGCAGGAAGTGCTGTTATTGCTCATCAGCCTGATGGCAGCACAATTCAAAGAAATATCCGAATTAGTAACTGGGCGCCCACAATGCAGGCCGAGTTGGTAGCGATACTGGTAGCACTCGAAATTATTGACAACACTGCAGTTGACAGCTTAATTATTTCTGACTCCCTATCCTCACTACGAGCAATAAACAGTTTGCAATCAAGTAATAACGTGCTTGTCTTGGAAGCTAGACGTAGATATGTAAGAATACTTAGCAAGAGGGTAAATATAAAAATGTTGTGGATTTCTTCTCACATTGGCATGCAGGAACATGACAAAGTTGACGCCCTTGCTAAGGCTGCAGTAAATAAAGACAGTATTGAATGGAATCTTGAGTTATCAAATAGGTCCCTTAAAAGTGTCATTAGACGAGAACTCCTAGATGGATTTGAAGAAAGTAGAACAGTGCAAACTGGAACTAGTAGGTCCATTGTTCATCACAATGAAATGTGTGAAGTAAAACATGTGTATGGGGCAAGTAACAAAGTCAGTAGACTAACAGATGTTGTCACAGCTCGTATAAGACTTGGCTACAAGTATCTCTGGCAGTTCGGCTTGTATAGGGATCTAGATGAAGTAAAGTGTAAAGTGTGTGGACATAGGCAGGGACACACACTCGAACACTATATCTTGGATTGTTGTAAAATTGAGCCTTTTAGAGATAGGTCTAAGCTCACTCTGTATGATATGGCAACCTATCTTATTACCATGGATAAATTACCTGAAATCCTTGCACTGTACCCACATTTTGCTTCCAGTAGATGAACGACATATGAGATTCAGAAACAAGTAGTGTATTGTGAGGACTAATAATAAACAGAAGCTCCCCTACGACTCTGTAATATCCCCATTGGCCAAACTATTATGTATTAACGATAAAACCTACCATTAATGTATGTTGACTTACTGTAAATATGTAGCTCTTGTAATAGCACTTTCTCTGTAACTAGCTGACATTGTATCTATAAGGTGTGAAGGATTGAAGAAATTGTTTATGTAATAATCTAAGATGAGGTCTGATAAAGACCTTTTGTGCCCTCTGTAATGCTTTTGCGCTACCGCTCACAGGATGAGTATGGGGTGCACAATAAACTAGCCGCCTTCGGCGGCAACAATCAATCCCCCATGCACTTGAGCTATGTCAATAGGCTGTTCTACCTCTTCGCCCTTATGTGTAATGCATCATGCTATTGTGATTTCTGTGTGTAGCTGGTTATAAAGCCATTCACAACTGAAGGCCTAACAAAAAAGGAGGTGACACAGCCATATATTAGAAAGATACCTTCATCTGCAACAGTGTTATTAGTGATAGAGACGACTACTGTGAATATACTTTTGCTTGTTGATGTATATACTCTCATATGGTATCATAATTTCCATAATAACTTTCCATCATAAAATTATTTTAATCATAACTTTCCATCATAAAATGATGGAAAGTTCCTTGGCCTATACTTAGACAAGAGACTCAACTTCAGCACCCACATATAACACATAACCAAGATAGTCTCAAAAATGGTTGGTATACTCACTAAAATCAGATATTATTTATTTATTTATTTTTTATTTATTTATTTATTTATTTATTTATTTATTTATTTATTTATTTATTTATATACAAGAAGTTACATTGGGTTTATGAGAGTACATAGCATGTTGTGTTTACATTCTTGAAAGCCACTTGTATGCACAGCTTTTCGGGCAGGTCCTTAATCTAACAAATAATATTAACTAGGTAATTTCTAGCAAAATTTATAAAATGTTAACAGGTACATTGTAAGAAAATTTGACAAAGATAAATAGGCACATTAAAGCACATTGAAAGCTTTGATTGATAGCTTGATTGATAATATGATAAAGATTAGTAGGCACAGTAAAGCACACTGATAGCTCAGTCACAGAGAACAAAAAATTTCAATCCAAATCTGTGGCGTTTGGAGGGAATATACTGCTTGACAGCAACACGTCCTTTGAAAAGCACAAGGGATTCGTCAATCACCAGCTTCTGAGCTGGTACATAGAAATATCTGAACTTTCCAATCAATTCATTCAGAACATGCCTCACTCTTCAAAGTCTATCATCGTCTGTCCGGTCTTCATTACTTGCAAAATGAAGACACCTGAGGAGTATCTGAAACCTGTCTCGAGACATATATTTTCCGAACATAGGTGTTGGAACACAATGGTCTTTGCTACAATAATCTGAGATGTCGTGTTTACACAATGTCTCATCAACATACATAGTGCAAGAAATACATACATTTCACCTAAATCAGTGTTTTTCCAACGCTGTAATCGTGAAAAATCTGTTAATTCATGTTCAATGAGATGAGCAGCGTAAATGTTCGTTTCCTGAACAATATGTTCCATGAGCGGCTCATCAAAATATGCAGTAAAAAAGTTCATTTCACGCATGTCCTCACCAGTATCAGAGAAAAAAGGTCTGTAAACCCAACATCATTATTGTCAAAGGCAGGGATTGGTGGAACAAAATCTTCACCATCACTCCACACAAGTACACCCGATGTTTTGCGAGACACAAGAGCCGCACCAAGGCGAGGAATCGTTGCACACAGTGGACCAGGAGCTGAAGCCCGTCTATGCACAGTAAGGGTGCGAACTGAAGATGAGGTAAAATCACGAAAACATGAAGGGGCTTTGTTCTTCATTGTCTCCATGGCGCCCAATCAAGCGCCGACTGGGTCAGACGCAGACACAACAAAACATTGCTTGGTAACACCACCCACTCCACTGGCACTAGCAACAGGCGTCGTAATACTATTTTCTGATTCAATGTCACCAAAACCAGAAAAAGAGTCACCTTCTTCTGACTCGTCGGCAAAAATATCCTCATATTGCAAATATCCACAAGAACTGTGTGGTCTGGAGCGAATTCGTTTAGAGAGTAGATGAGGAGGCAG